AAAAAAAAAAAAAAAAAAAAAAAACTTACTATATGAAATGACGTCGTTTCATTGAAGCAAACCTTAAAAAAAATTAAAAATTAAAAATAAAAATAAAAAAAAAACTTTCACGCGACTTCATCCTCTTCCTCGCCCTGCGGCTTGCAGATCACACCATGGCGCCGTTGCATGTTGACATGCATCGCCCTACCTCACCACGCTAAACGTGCAGCAAGCTAAACAAACGAATGCACGAGGCGATTTCCATTCGCCTCGCTCTGAGTTGCGCTTAGGCATGCCTTTGAAAACACTAATTTTCATAAAGAATATGATCTCAATAGTTAATTATGTCAACAATAAGAATCATCATTAACACATGCATCCAAAGTCTGATAATCACGTAGGAGAGATGAGTGGGACTACGAATTGAAGTCTGATAATCACGTAGGTTCTTGGCCCTTATCTATGCACGAGGCGATTTCTTTGGTAGAATTGACACAAATAACGCGCTTTATGGGATGAGTTCAAAAAAAGTTGTTAATAATCCCAAGTTGATTCAGGATAAAGTTCATGCGTTGCTCACCCGCTTAAGTTTTAAAGCTGTTAATAAACTGTTGTACGCTAATGGGAAGATAAAAATATCACCAAACGGGAAAAATGTTTTTGGTATCGTTGAATGTACTAAGGACCTTTATGAAGTAAATTGTAAGGAATGTCATGATGTTGCAATAACCGAACTTCAAGATTGTAGTTATGGAATGAGAGGTGGACATGTTATTTATGGTAGTTGTTACGTAAGATTTGAATTTCATCATCAATTTGACTATTAATGCGTTTGTTTTGTAGGATGAGCTCTTTAAGAATGTCATTCCTAGGGCATGAGATGAGAATTAATGCATACAATCCTAGAGTTTGGAAATACTGGTTATAAAAGTAGTGTTGAGCTAGCTGTTGTCATCATATAAACTCATATAGGGGTTGTTTTTAGCTCAGGCACCACTAAGATAACATGCTTCCTTTCGGTTGAAGATGGCCTAGATGATGGTTAATTGCTACTAGTATTGGAGTGATTACTACAGAGATTGCTGAACCCGGACCCTTGTTTAATAGTGGCTATTTTTATAGGAACTTCTGCTATCAACTGTTTGGCGTAACGTTCTTGTTTCATTTGCATTTGTGCAGATTTTAATTGAAATGATAATATCTACCGCATAAACCATAGTTATGTAATATGTATTTATTGCATCGCATGGTTTCCCTATGATTCTTGCATGCTATCTCAATGTTGGTTGAATGGATAATCCTTTGCCTTTATTTACTTGATTTTTAATTTGAGGGAAGATAATAATGAGAAGAGAGATTTTTGCATTTGATAATTGAGCATATATGACCACTGGTGGACCCAGGAATTTTTCAAAGGATGTGCAATTTTTAAAGGCACAAGACTTGATCGATGAATAAGTTTTTATAAAGATAATTCTCTCCAAAAAAAAAAAAAGACTTGGGGTGGAGGGGACGTTAAAAAAAAAAAAATGAATTTGATGTTTTATAAAGACTTTTTTTTATTTAGCTAAGATGTAAGGCACAAGACTTGATCGATGAATAAGTTTTTATAAAGATAATTCTCTCCAAAAAAAAAAAAAGACTTGGGGTGGAGGGGACGTTAAAAAAAAAAAAATGAATTTGATGTTTTATAAAGACTTTTTTTTAATTTAGCTAAGATGTTTTGTAAGGACTTGAAACGACTCCGAGAAAGACATGACATGACACCGCTTATTGTCATAGTCAGTACTTGCATTATGCGAAGACAAATGACTACTTGGGCTTCCACATGATCGAGAAATTTTAAAGTCTAGACACATACATTTAACCAAACGACATTGCATCTAGATCAACACCATTTTCCCAGCAAAACGACTTGACATACTTTGTATTCAAGAGTAATGTTGTCTTGTCTTACAACTTGGTATGCCAATTAATATCAGTAGTGTTAAACCATATTTCAATTTGCAAGCCTAATTGGCAATGCTTACAAGGAAACATCAATTACGTCCAACATCCGACATTGAAAA